CCTTAAATTTTGTTGCACTGGCAGAATGTAAAAGAAAGTAGTCCGGCAAGACACCAGTGAAAATACGGAAAATATGTTTCACTGCAGTGAAAAATAAATTTTTACAGTGAAAATACGGAAAATGAAAATACGCATTTTATTTCATCAATATTTTTCAATATTTCATTTCTAAGTATGTAATAAATAAATTTATTTCAACCTCCGTAAATGGTGATATTTTAATGTCTATTTCAAGAATGTTGATGTTGAAATTTGGGGGTCAAGAAAGCAATGCCTGGCCTCATATATCAGCTATATTCATTTGCAGAGTGAAATAATAGAATATCCAAAACTTCACCAATTGTTGCTGACATATTGTATATCATGTTAAAAATCAAAAATCAAAACACCCAAGCTTTTATCTGAATTAAATCATGTCATGTACATATCTGTCCGGACACATGGTATTGTAGTGTAGACAATTTAGGTAATTTTGATACCCTCCTTGTCGAGCCTCAGATATAAGTGTCAATAAAATCAGAAATAAACAAACTAGTTTGTTAGTTAGGAGAAGAACCTAGCTGAACTGTGTCAAATTTTTTGGGTCTCTAGGTTAGAAATTATGAAATCTGTACGGAAAAATGTTCCAAAAGTGTCCGGTTGATGGTCTCCAAACCAGTACACTTAGTGCAGCAACTAATTAAAATATGGAAATTCAATCCATTCATATAGAAACATATCCAATTTATTTTCAATTAACATTCATTCATCGATTAATAACCGTAAAAAAACGTACAGGTTGCTTTAGAGTGAAAAAAATGTGCCCAAAACAACACTATTGGGTAATTTTACTGCCATGTGACCTGAGAATAAGGAAATGAGGTCAACAGACAGGAAGGTATATTCCAGCACATTTTTGCAAGGAAAACAGGACAGCGTAAAGTGAAGGTCAAAATTGCATTAGTGAAATCATACAAAAATCTCTTGAATAAAGTATAACATGCTAAATTTTACCTTCCGGTGTCTTACTTACTACATATTGTTACTTAACCTTAATCTGCTTCGGTGAAGACATTTTAGAAACTCTGTATACATGATAAAGCCGGAGTATCGAGAACTTTCATTGGTTCACGCTCAAGGCAATGTGGAAAGAAAGGTTTCGATACACCGGCTTTATCAGGTGACCAGAGTTTCCAAAATGTCTTTGCCGAAGCAGATTTATGCTTGCAATTTAAGATAAAGATATGATAATATTTGTTGTCTACATTTTTTAAGGGTATAATTTTGTTGAAATTTCGTCCATTGTATTATTTAAAAAATAATATATATAGCTTTAATGGAGTATACTGTACATACTGTATTTGGTATATTTTGGTTCAAAACACAATGATAAGAAAATAAATATTTGGGTATGTTCTATCAATTTTAGTGAAAATGTATATTGTAATTCATAATTAGGACAGCACTTTTTAGTACAAAACATTTACCTTACGTATATTTGGGCAATATTTGGGCAAATTTTTGCAATATTTGGGTATATATTTTTGCAATATTTGTGTGTATTTGGGGTATATTTGGGTATTTCATGCTGCCCCTATGTTTATTCACGGGAGCTTGACATTCTATCAATAATTGAAAAATATGAGCAAATAATTAGAAAATAAAGGTAAATATACCCCTCTATACAATAAATAAGCATATTGACAACTCAATTAAAATATTATTCAATTATACACAAACACAATGTATGTATTGAAAATCAATTTCAACAAACCTGGTATACAAAATTATACTGAAAACCTTAGGCTAAACTCCGTTTTCCGGTACTTTCTGTACATACCTCTGGGGAATTTTATCAAATGGAGCGTAATATTAACAAATGTTTTTATCCTTTTTTAAATTAAAGGGAAATAAAACAATTATTTCTTAATTTGTATGAAAATAATTAAATATCATTATATGAATAATTCCATACAAAAAATAAAGTAAATACACAAGTTCATGCAGTTCTCGTCTGTCCGTACGAGGTTAACCTAGAACGGCAAGTTGGATTTTTCTTAAGTTCTACCTGTACCAATGGCTTCATAATTTACACACTTACTAATCCATACAAAGTATATGATCTGGGCAAGTTACATAACTATGGTTTCAATTTGCACAAAGTTATGGCCGTTTTCAGCACTTAGAAAATGAATAATGGTTAACCTAAAGCAGCAAGTTGGAAATATCTTATGTTCTATCTGAACTAATGGCTTAATAATTTTTACACTTATCAATACAATGTACATGATATTGCCAAGTTATATAAATGTGCCATCCATTTTCCCAGTAATTTCCCTTTTTATCACTTTGAAAATAGGGCCTTGTATGGTTAACCTATTCCGCCAAGTTGGATTTATAAAAAAAATTCACCTAATTACTTAATTTATTTAATGATATCTTTCATTAACTGTCCTCTAATTTTTTGTGGCGTTAGGCGTCTCTAGGTAAAGGTCAAGGTCACTTGTGTAAAAATATAAATCTTAACATTTCTGCTTATACAGCCTTTATTTTTAAGTTAATATCTTTCATGTTTATAATAGTCATACCAAGGGAGGTCCTCTTCCTTTTCCTTTAGTAAGGGGTCATTTGGGTCAAGGTCACCATTGTCAAAAATAGATTTTTTTACACTTTTACAGGTGTATTAACCTTATTCTATCGACAGATGTCTTGTATATTTTGTAGGAACATAAAATTGAGGTATTCTCATTTGGATGGAGGTAGGGGTCAGTTGGGTCAAAGTCACCAGTGCTAAAAATAGATCTTTACACTTTTGCTCATACAGCCTTTATTATTGACAGATTTGTATTATAATTGGTAGAAAGATAACTTACATGGTATTCTTCCTTTGGATGGAGTTAGGGGTCAGTTGGGTCAAGGTCAACAGTGCTAAATATAGATTTTTACACTTTTGCCCATACAGCCTTTATATATTGACAGATTTATTGCATATTTGGTAGGAAAATAAGTTGCATGATATTCTTCCTTTGGATGGAGTTAGGGGTCAGTTGGGTCAAGGTCACCAGTGCTAGAAATATTTTTTTTATACTTTTGCCCATACAGCCTTTATTTATTGACAGATTTATTTCATATTTGGTAGGAAATAACTTGCATGATATTCTTCCTTTTGATAGAGGTAGGGGTCAGTTGGTCAAGGTCAAAGGTGCCAATTACAGATTTCTACACATGATTGGTTTTCTTCCATACAAATTAGCTACTTCACTCTCTAAAGTTAAATTATTGATAACAGTGAGCGCGTGGGCATTTGTGTTTATCAAGCATAGATTCTTGTTTCACCTTAAACTGTTAAACAATGATAGAAAAATAAAAATATCATGTAATTGTATTAAGTACTTCATTTGGTGTAATTCCCAAGAGCTGAATCGGTAATGTACCGGAAAACGATGTTTAGCTAGGTTTTCAAAAAGGTCAATTACAATCCCTGATATTTTAGATCAAAGCATAACATAATAATATATTGCAATAATGTCAGCAAAATATTTTGACTGTGCGAAATTATTATTTTGATGGACCAGCGGGGGAGGAATATAGTGAATGAAAAGCAAATGTAGGCGGTTTTCACAGGACTATTGAAAATAATGCTTAAAACACTTTGAAATAAATAAGACACTCTTATAGATGTAAATGATTTTTTCCCCTTTAAACCCCCCCCCCCCCCCCCATAAATGATACAAAAATAAATTGGTATGAACATTTGTTTATGTGGAAAAGGCTTGCAGTATTAAGTGAAATGCCAAGTTGTTAAACTCAGATTTTTATTGCCGATCACATCCAACATGGTAGCATTAACATTAAGGGTGTAACGGTATACCCTAGGACTGTGTAATTATATCATAACTGATTCCACACTGTACAGTTCACGGTACAACAAAACGCCTATATGTTACGCTAGGACACAATACAGCATTTTAAACCATTTTCAAGCGAATTCAATTATTTCAGAAAAACTGCAGACAATGAATATAAATCTGTTTGAGAAAATCCACTGTCCTGCTAGCATTTGCTATTAGAAGTTTGGATCGGGAAAGAAAAAATCAAACTCGGCCGCGAGGGCATAAAAGATTCTCCCGATCCAACTGATGTTTCTATAAATATTTGATATAAATGAAGTGACTTGGTAAAAAAATCAAACCGCAGACGCCATTTATATTGTAATACAGGTAGATCTACTTTCAAATGGAAAAAAAAAAATTTTCCTGCAATTTAAATGACCAAATTATTTTCTGCTGATGATTTTGGACATGCCTTGATGAGATAAAAGGTCTGCCAGGTCTTTTGAACTTTGTCAAAATAAATTGATTAAATGTCTTTGTGTGATTTTTATTTCAGCAAGTCTACTTTATATCATTGTTTTTTTTTCACCTGAGCACAAAATGTTCAAGGTGAGCTTTTGTAATCACAATTTGTCTGGTGTCTATCGTCCATCCGTGCGTCATTTAGATGGTTACAAAACTCTTAACTCTTTATATAAAATTTTAACAAAATTGTTACTTTGTTTGTTTAGATATTGGTAGTTTATCAGTATGGCACATCAACTTCAGTTAGAGAAGAAAAACTACAGACAGTGGGTAAAGGCTGGTTTAGGACTTGGATATTTAAAGGAGGGACTGGTACCATTCTGTAATGACATAGCTGACCAACAACATAAGGATATCTTACAGAACATTCGGTCTACAAAATCACTACCATCAAATGCGACGTGTGGCAGCTGTCAAGTTGATACTCTCAAGCCAGACCATAAGCCAGTAGGGAATGCTGGAAACAAAGTTTGTCCTTATGGGCAAGTACGATGCAGCTGTTGCTTTACTAAGGGCAAACTGCTTGTTCAAACAACATATGTGGCGCCATCTATGACTTTATTGTGCAAAATCATGCATCTTCACCACCTTCACCTAACTGGAAAAACAGCGATGCTCAACAGTGGTCGGTAGACCCTTGGAGCATTTGTAAATGTTTTATAAATGCTCCAGGGTATGAGCAGAAGCAATCTGCTAGTGAAACTGATTGTACTGGTTATTACATCTAATAATAAATAACCAGTATTTTCATAGCCACATTGCATGCAATGTCACAGGAACAAACAACTTGTTTTCAAAGGTAAATCATTATTAAAATTTCTTTTACTTAATATCTTTTATCAGCTCTACTGTAATGTTAATGATGTTTATTCAGCATCAAAGTAAAAGAGAAAATTAGGAAATAATGAGATATCAATTCTGAGTGCACTATTGTAGAATAATGCACGGTTTGAGTTCAAATGGCTAGTAATATAATCAAGAAGGCCGATAGGCCTAAGTGATTAATTACAAAGCATTTGAACGAAAAACGTGCATTATTATACAATAATGCACGAAGAATTAATATCTATATCCATTCTAACACGTCAAGCAAAAATATAATTATTATAAGGTTGGACTTTATGTTTGGTGGTTAAATTTGTTTTTCGCCTGAGAGTTTCCCTTAGAACATTCTTTAAAGGCTGTTCCAGTGGGTTGAAAAAACTGTCGTTAAATCTACCGTGTGTAGAAACATTTTGAGAATAATGAATTTTGAAAACGTTGATAAAACTTTGTTTGTTTATTTTATTTTACTCTATAATTTTTCAAGCGAAATACAAATTATTAAAAGTGAAATAAATGTAAAACTTAACTCGTTTGTGACATTAAAATAGCGTACTTGATTTGATTGTTTTGCATGTGTTGTTTGGCGCTACATTGTGATGTCACGTAAACAACAATTCAAACGTCTGTACGTCGTTAACAAATGAATTAAAGAGATTGGTGTTCGGATTCATTTTCTTAGTTAGAGCATTTTCTTTCATTCTAGATAGTTTTCACAACAAAATTTGACAAAAAATTGTTTTTATTTATCAGATTTTTTAAACAAAATGGCACCCTCAATGAGAAAGAACGGCGAGTGCATTGTTGTAGAATAATGCCACTTAACGGGCCTTCTTTGTTTATATAGAAAAATTTCCGATAGTGTTAGAATGAAAATTTAACTTTGAAGGTAATGAGGTAATTCACCACTTAAATGATTCACAACAAATATATAAAAATTCACCAATTGTTTTTGTTGCAAAATTTGATCTAACTAAGTTCACGAGGCTTGTGGTAAATATTTACTGTAAACATGTACAAGTGTAGATTTGTATATAGAACTTTTGTATACAGGCTATTTTTCCCCTATCCCATGGGTCCATATATAGGCCCCATTCCAAATCCAAATTTTGTTCTTTATTCCAATCCAATAAAAAAATTATTACCAAACCCGAGGTTGGTGATTTGAAAAAAGGTACCACCTTTTTATATGCCCGAAAGAATTTCGGGCATATTATGTTATACCCCCTGGCGTCCGTCCGTCCGTCCGTTAGCAATTTGGTTTCCGGAGCATAACTTAAGTTCCATTTGGCCCACAGTATTCAAACTTCATAGGCAATCGCAACTACTCGGCCCTTTCCGTAAGTGTTCGGATAAGGACCTCGAACACAATAGTATGAATACACAGAACGGATGCGGTATTCCGGTCTAACCTACGCTAAGAAACTAAACATGTAAACAAATAGTAATTTAATGCTGGGAGTTGTTGACACGTTTATTTCCAATATATGTAGTAAAAGTCCACCTGAAATAAGTGAATTCATAGGTACAAAAGCAAACAATACATTATTTATATATTTACTAATATGGCTGTGAAACCGAAAGTACAAAAAACCAACCTGTTGACATTTGGTCGGATTTATTTAAAATTGAACATCAGAAGGCATATTTAAATAACAAATTGTTGTCAGACATATTTTCAAGCATAAGAGTACCGGAACAGACATTAGATGTCAAATATATACATTCGTTTTACATTATCTCTGTTTCTGTTTACATCTGTAAACCACGTGGTAGAACTACTTTCAATCCGTATTGTTTCCGAGGTTAATATTGTAGATAATAGCCGAGGCAGTTCCGAATGCTTCATAGGATGATTGCCCATATTGGGTAGAAAACCCCTATTGATTTTGGGGTCACAAGGTCAAAGGTCAAGGTCACTATTAGCTTAATACTGAAAATGGTTTCCGGAGCATAACTTAAGTTCAATTTGGCCCACAGTATTTAACCTTCATAGGATGATTGTCCATATTTGGTATAAGACCCCTATTGATTTTGGACTCACAAGGACAACGGTCAAGGTCACTATTAGCTTAATACTGAAAATGGTTTCCAGAGCATAACTTAAGTTCCATTTGGCCCACAGTATTCAAACTTCATAGGATGATTGTTCATATTGGGTAGAAAAACGCTATTGATTTTAGGGTCACAAGGTCAAAGATCAAGGGATTACTATCACCTTTAAACTGGAAACAGTTTTCGCTCAATAACTCAAGTATTAATCGAACTACAGCTGTAAAATTTTATAGGATTAACAGCTTTATACCCCTGACGTCCTGGTGTCCATCCGTTGTAGCATTTTTACTTACAAGATAACAACTTGATGGTGGTGCTTTGAAAACAGCAACTGTATATATACATGAATATTGTTCAGCTATAAAGGAGGATTGCTTTTTGAAGGAGGTAATACTGTATTTAATTCCCATGTTTTCCTCAGTAAAAGAAAAAGTTCTTTCGGGCATATAATGCTCCGTCTAGCGGTGCTCTTGTTGTATTTGGTGTGAAGGTTCTGGATGTTTCGGACACCTTTTAAGTCCTGATTAGTTTCAATAAGATTTATTTAGCTTTGTTCAAAGAATTTTAACATCTTGAATGCTGGCATATTTTTCCCAAATGATAAATTTCACAATTTAATTTTTGACCCATATTGAAAAGAAAATTAAAGACACAGTTATCCCAAATTTACCATGTGGCATTTTCCCAAAATATAGGAAGAAATCCTGGTATAATTTATAATTGCATCTTATATGTAGGTAAGTACGAAAACAATTTTCAAGAAAATAATTTGTATTGCTTAACACTGTATATTTATGCATAGAACAATATTGAACTTGTGTTTTCTATTTGATAGGTTCGTCAGTATAGGAATGATATTTTTCACTCAAGCTGTATGGAATTAGAAGAAAGTGAGGCAAATTCTTATATTGACGATATGATAGGAGTTTTACAAGATGGTAAGGAGCTATTACAGCGATCAGATGCCCAGATAGCGGTGAAGAAACTTCAAGATGTAAGTTAAATAATGAATTATGTCAGTTTGAAATCTTTATGGAGTTTACTTATGATTTAAAATAACAAGCCTTAGTCTAAATTTAGGACAAAGCTTAGGTAACAAAGTTTGAACTGGTAAATTATAGTAAAATTCAAAAGATAATTTCCTAAAGTTAATTGATAAAGTCACATAAAAATACATATGTACCTTTAAACTGTTAAAATATAAAGAAAAGAGATCTAATTAGTTCAGAGTAACTTACAAAATCCGGAACTTTTAAAATTAGAAAAAGTTATAAAATCTGAAAAATTTGCCGGGTCCAAAACTTATATAGTGAATTAAGATACTGAGAAGTATTATATGAATCCCGGAACATTCTAAAAATTCGAACTTTTCGGCTTGTCCAAGGTTACACTGAAATATAATATTATGTAGAAATCAACAAAAGTAAGAAAATAAGAGGCTGATAGCCATAGATCTATATCAAACACCCTGTTATAAAGGTAGAATTAAAGAGTCCACTGAAAAAGTGTAGGAGCAAAGCAGATAATATTGAAATAAAGTTTGACCTTATATATCATAATTATGTTGTATAGAAGAGTAAATATGATAAATCCCTTAGCTACATTCTTTTCTCTTGAAAGAAAATATAACAAAAATATTTTTCATCAGTTGAAGAAGAAAGACTTCATTATTACAACTGAAGGGTTTGAAGAAATTCTGAGACAAATCAAGGAAGAAATGGAAAATGCTCCAACTAAAGAGGAATATGAGGAGCTCAAAAATAAACTTGAAACACAGATGTTCAAACTAAAAGAGGTAAAACTCCAAGTTTCAATTGTTTGTTATAGTTAATATGCTGGTACATGTATTTTTTACAACCATGGTTTTAAGAGAACAGAACTAAATTTTGTATGCCAGACCTATTATCAGCTTGTCAAGGCACACAATTAGGTTAGCAAGCTTTGTGAATTCATGTTGTTACAAGGGATGATAAAAATTAAATAGACTTAATAGAAAATTAATTAAATGCATTTGCATATTAAAAACACAGAATATAAATTGAAATACATGTATATCCCCTACATCATACATGATAGAAAAAAATCAACAAAAATCATTATTAGATATAAAAGTTATGCTGTTAAAAGCATGTAGAGCAACTCGATGTATGGTATAAGTAATAATCTTAAAATTTGACATTTTATGACGTCACAAGCGTATTGTATTATATGGAGCAATTTTCTCATTCTGGAAGTAGGCCAATGCATGTTCCCAGATCTTTGATACAAGCATTATCAAACCACTGTTATATACTCTAAAGATTTGAACCATCTGATATTCTGTTTGATTTTTAGATAAGCTTTTATTAGTCCCCTACCGGTTTACCAGAGGGGACTTTAGGTTTACCCTCCGTCCGTCCGTCCGAGCCAACATTTGATTATAATGAGCTTCATTCCGTAGTTAAATAAAGAACATAAACTCATAAAATTCAAATTGAGAGCTATTTTTTTGTTTTTATGAGCTTATTTTGCTTATGGACGTTGGTCCAGGTGGTGTTTATGAGCTCATTTGCCTCATAAACATCAAATTTTGGTATGTCCGTCTGTCAGTTCGTCAGTCCGTCCACAAAACTGGATCCCACGATATCTTGAAAAGTACTGAAAATATTTTTATGAAACTTGGTATATGGATAGATGGCAGTATGGAGATTATGCACGTCTTTTTCTTTTCTTCATATGGTGAAAATTCTGGTTGCTATGGCAACAAGTCCGTCCGTCTGTCCGTCCGTCAGTCCGTCCGTCCACAAAACTGGATCCCGCGATAACTTGAAAAGTACTGAAAATATTTTTATGAAACTTGGTATATGGATAGATGGCAGTAAAATTCTGGTTGCTATGGCAACAAATAGGCTGAAAATATGGCAAATTTTACACATAAACTGGATCCAGTGATAACACAAAAGTACTGGAAATATTTTTATGAAACTTGACATATGGGTAGATGGCAGTCTTGAGATAATGCACGTCGTTTTCTTTTCTTCTTATGTTGAAAATTCTGGTTGCTATGGCAACAAATATGCTGAAAATATGGCAAATTTTACACATAAACTGGATCCAGTGATAACGCAAAAAGTACTGGAAATATTTTTATAAAACTTGACATATGGGTAGATGGCAGTCTTGAGATTATGCACGTCTTTTTCTTTTCTTCCTATGTTGAAAATTCTGGTTGCTATGGCAACACATAGACTGAAAATTTGGCAAATTTTACACATAAACTGAATCCAGTGATAACTCAAAAAGTACTGGAAATATTTTTATGAAACTTGACATATGGGTAGATAGCAGTCTTGAGATTATGCATGTCTTATCTGTTCTTCCTATTTTGATAAAATATCAGTTGCCTTGGCAACAAATAGGCTTAAAACATGGCAAATATAACAATATTTGTGATTAGTCAAAAAGAGCTGAAAATTTTTATGAAATTGCATCTTTAATTCAAGAGTTATCTCCTCTTTAAGAATTTTGCTTTTAAAAAATTTTGGTAACAGGGATGTTTCAAATATTAACTTTAGAGTGTCCTCAGTCGGTCTGTCTGTCTGTCTGTTCATAAAAACTGTTTCCTGTGATCACTTTTAAAGAACTTTTCCAACAAATTTACTTAAAATAGAGAAAAATTGAAACATTAGTGAATGGCCAATGGCCCTTCAGAATGTTGATGGGGTTCTAACCGGTAGGGGACTTATGGATTGCTTGCAATACTATGATAATTGCTTGTTCAAATAAATTTTGACTGTATGAAAACGGTGGCTTATTTTTGAAACAGGCTTGTTTTCAAGACAGCTTATTATCAAATTTTTAGGTTATATGTCTGTAAAAGTCATTATAATACTGTTTTGTAATACTACTAGTAGTCTAGATGGGGGAAAAGACTTACTGTAATAGTGGAAAATTCCATCCTCTCAACTGTGTTCAAAAGTCTCACCTGTAATGAATTATAATATGTCTAAGAAAATAATTTTGCTGAATGATAATGTATCATACATACGAGAATATAATAAGATAATACACCTCAGAACAGAATTCTCATTATATGAAAATAAATATACCGCATCTCCTATTTTGAATGCTTTCGTTTAACTGTTGACAAAATTTTACCATATTAATCATTTCGTTAAAGGCACTCGCCTCCAGATTGAAAAAGTTAACAGTAAATACTGGTCTAGGTTTAATGAATCATAATGAAAACACCTTAATATTTCAATCTTAAGTTTAAATTTATAAAATGTTATCATAATTATGTATTATATTATTTATCAATTCTAATCCTAAGGACAACAAATAAACACAAATTTCAAAGCCAAAGCGCTTTATTTGTTTCTCTCTTTGTTTGATATGAACCAGAATTTCATGGTAACAGGTTGTGATATTTGTCCTGTACTATCACATGGTAAGAATTGGCAGGTCAGAACAAACCTAAAGATCTATAAAATTATGATACAAGTATATCAATCAATAAACTTTTTACCTGAACTTAGTAAACCAGGAAGTGCTTCAGCCTGAGAGACTGCCTCTGAAGCAATATTGGTAGTCACTTACAGGTTTAAAGTGAGGGGACTTTAAAGGTTTACCCTTCGTATGTCCATCAACAAAACTGGGTTCCATGATAACACAAAAAGTACTGAAAATTTTTTTTTTGAAACTTAAGATATGACCAGATGTCAGTCTGGTGATTACTGTGTATGCATATTTTTATATGCCCACAAAAATATTGGGCATATTATGTTATACCCACTGGCGTCAGTCCATCTGTCCGCACTCACAGGACAGTAATTATGTGGCTAGTGTAACTGTTCTTTCTCTTTGATGTCATTCATTCCTTAATGCTTTTATTTGGCTATTTTCTTTTGTGTGGCTAAAAAGAACAATAGGGAGAACAATAGATTAGCCACATAATTACTGTCCCGTGAGAACCTCCGTCTGTCCGCATGTCCATACGACGCTTAGCAATTTGGTTTCCGGAGCATAACTTAAGTTCCATTTGGCCCACAATATTCAAACTTCATAGGATGATTGTCCATATTGGGTAAAAGACCCCTATTGATTTTGGGGTCACAAGGTCAAAGGTCAAGGTCACTATCACCTTAAAACTGAAAACAATTTCTGGAGCATAAATTAAATTCCATTTGACTGTCACCTTAAAACTGAAAACAGTGTCCGGAGCATAACTTAAGTTCCGTTTGGCCCACAGTATTCAAACTTCATAGGATGATTGTCCATATTAGGTAGAAGACCCCTATTGATTTTGGGGTCACAAGGTCAAAAGTCACGGTCATTATTACTTTAAAACTGAAAACAGTTTCCAGAGCATAACTCAAGTTCCATGTAGCCCACAATATTCAAACTTCATAGGATGATTTTATATATTGGGTAGAAGACCCCTTTTGATTTTGGGGTCACAAGGTCAAGGTCACTATTACCTTAAAACTGAAAACAATTTCTGGAACATAACATAAGTTCCGTCTGGCCCACAGTGTTCAAACTTTATAGGATGATTGTCCATTTTGGGTAGAACACCCCTATTGATATTGGGGTCACAATATCAGGGTCACAATATCAAAGTTCAAGGTCGCTATTACCTCAAAACTGAAAACAGTTTCCAGAGCATAAATTAAGTTCCATTTGGCCCACAATATTCAAACTTTATAGGAGGATTGCTATTTGAAGGAGGTAATACTTTATTTAATTTATGTAATGTCTTACAAATTCTCAATCCTTACTAGAAAAAAAAAACACTTTTGGGCATATAATGCTTCGCCTAGCTGTGCTCTTGTTGTCTTTCTATAATGTTGAAAAATTTGGTAGTTAAGGCAAAAAATAGAAGAAAAATATGGTATGAAAATATTTTCATGAAATTTGAAATATGGCAATACAGCCTAAATATGAACCATTGATAATAAAATTATGTACATGTATGATTGCACCAAAAATATCAAAATGAAAAATTCTTTATAGAGAAATCGTCCATTGCAATAAAATTGATTTTTAAAAAAGGAAATTTGATTTAACGTTCTTGAGATAATTATAGGGCCCATGTTTGTTGAACAGACTGATTAAAACTATGAATATTACTGTATACAATAGACATGTTTAAAAATTACTGAATAAAACACAATTATTTGTATGATAATTTATGTTGTAGGAGATAAAAAGACTCAAAGTAGAAGATTCTCCTAAACAAAAACAGCTAGAATATGAAAAGGCTAAATCAGGTATGTTATAATTATAAAATATAAAAAGTCTAAATCAGGTATGTTATATAGAATAATTATAAAAAGACTAAATCATGTATGTTATATAGAATATGAAAATGCTAAATCAGTTTTATTATATAGAATATGTAAAGGCTAAATCAGGTATGGTATATAGAATATGTAAAGCCTAAATCAGGTATGTTTTATAGAATAAGAAAAGGCTAAATCAGGTATTTTTTATAGAATATGATAAGACTAAATCTGGTATGTTGTATAGAATATAAAAAGTCTTAATCGGGTATTTTGTCAAGAATATGAAAAGGCTAAATCAGATATGTTGTATAGAATATGAAAAGGCTAAATCAGGTTTGTTGTATAGAATATAAAAAGGCTTAATCAGGTATTTTGTATAGAATATGAGAAGGCTAAATCAAGTATGTTGTATAGAATATGAAAAGTCTAAATCAGATATTGTGTATAAAATATTAGAAGGCTAAATCTTATATGTTGTATAACAGTGACTCTCTGTTGACTAGCTTCAGTCTGACTGATTTTTGTGCCCCCACTTTAGTGGCGGGCAATTAGATTTACCCTTGTCCATCTGTTCTCTTTTGTGTCGGAAGTACCTCAAAAAGCATTTGACCTAGAGTCATGAAACTTTACAGGAATGTTGATCAGCATGTGTTGTTGTGCACCTGGGTATTTTCGTCTGGATATATGTAGTATTTTTAGAGTAATTGCCCTTGACTTAGTAAAATTTTGCAATTTTCAACTTGTGTCGCATGTAACTCAAAAAGTATTTGACCTAGAGTCATGAAACTTTACAGGAATGTTGATCAGCATGTGTAGTTGTGCACCTGGGTATTTTCGTCTGGATTTATATAGTATTTTTAGAGTTATTGCCCTTGACTTAGAAAAATTTTGCAATTTTCAACATGTGTCGCATGTAACTCAAAAAGTATTTGACCTAGAGTCATGAAACTTTACAGGAATATTGATCAGCATGTATAATTGTGCACCTGGGTATTTCTGTCTGGATTTATTTAGTATTTTTAAAGTTATTGCCCTTGAGTTAGAATTTTTTTTGCAATTTTCTGCTTGTGTCACATGTAACTCAAAAAGGATTTGACATAGTCATTAAACCTTACGTGAAGGTTGCTCAGCATATTTAGTTTTGCTTGTGGATTTATCCAGTATTTGTAGAGTTATTTCCCTTGACTTAGTAAAAACCGTTTCATTATGTTGTTATTTGTTCCTTGAGTGCTTGAGTTAGAATCAACCAACTTTACAGGAATACTGATCAACATCACTAAATTATAGGAATAATGATTCACATCACTGTGAAGCCGCATACCTGGGACTTTTTATACGCCCGTTTGAAAAACGGGACGTATTATGGGAACGCCCCTGGCGGGCGGGCGGGCGGCGTCCAATTTTGTCCGTAGCATATCTCCTACATGTATGGAGGGATTTTAATGAAACTTCATAGAAATGTTCACCACTATGAGGAGCAGTGTCGCGCACATGAACCAGGTCTCTAGGTCAAAGGTCAAGGTCACACTTAGAGGTCAGTGAAAAATGCTTGTCCGGAGCAAAACTTCCACATGTATAGAGGGATTTCAATATTACTTGGCACAAATGTTCACCATTGTGAGGCGGAGTGTCGCGTGCAAGATTCAGGTCCTTGCGGCCAAGGTCAAGGTCACACATAGAGGTCAAAGTTCAGATAAAAATATGAAGATGTGTATATGGACCATTTAGTCATCATTTATTGAGGGATTGTAACACAAATGGTCATTATCAAGACTATGGCTGTGATACATATAATTTAGGTCAATATATACAAGGTCAAGGTCACTAAAGATGATGAAATATCCAGATTTTGTAAATAGAATTTTATCAAAGGGCGACAACAAAGTTATTACTTTGTTCATAAATGACTTACACAATTACTCCCCTTGATCTACTTTCACTTTCAATTCTAAAAATAGAATTTAATCAAAGGGCATAAATGGTCCTCTTTCTTGGACTTGAGTATTCTAAAGAATGTAACATTTATTTACACATGTTTCATTCATTGGTCAAGATTCTTAACTGTGATAACAATGGTGTTCTGTAGACTTGGTATTTGTTCATAAAGATCATACAGTAATTACCTTATCAAATGTAAATACTTTCTCATAGAAATTTAATTATATTTTAATTTTCAAGTAAATATCAGTTCAGCTCTCCTACATGTATGGAGGGATTTTCATGAAACTTCATAGAAATGTTCACCACTATGAGGAGCAGTGTCGCGCACATGAACCATATCTCTAGGTCAAAGGTCAAGGTCACACTTGGAGCTCATTGAGAAATGCTTGTCCGGAGCAAAACTTCCACATGTATAGAGGGATTTCAATATTACTTGGCACAAATGTTCACCATTGTGAGGCGGAGTGTCGCGCGCAAGATTCAGGTCCTTGCGGCCAAGGTCAAGGTCACACATAGAGGTCAAAGTTTAGATAAAAATATGAAGATGTGTATAGGGACAATTTAATCATCATTTATTGAGGGATTGTAACACAAATGGTCATTATCATGACTACGGCTGTGACACATGTACTTTAGGTCAATATATGCAAGGTCAAGGTCACTAAAGATTGTGAAATATCCAGATTTTGTCTGGAGCATATCTCCTACATGTATGGAAGAATTTTTATAATACTTTATGGAAATGTTCACCACCAGGATATGTATTGCTCCATGCATGATCCAGGTCTCCAGGTCAAAGGTCAAGGTCACACTTAGAGCTCATTGAAAAACGCTTGTCCGGAGCAAAACTTCTACATTCAATATAACTTGGCACAAATGTTCACCATTGTGAGGCTGAGTGTCGCACGCAAAATTCAGATCCCTGCGACCAAAGTCAATGTTACACATAGAGGTCAAAGTTCAGATAAAAATTTGAAGATGTGTATAGGGACCATTTAGTCATCATTTTTTGATGGATTGTAGCACAAATGGTAACTATCATGACTACAGGTGTGACACATTTAATTTAGGTTAATATTTGCAAGGTCAAGGTCACTGGAGATGATTAAATATCCAGATGTTGTCCAGATTTACTACATGCATGGAGGAATTTTAATGTTACTTTATAGAATTGTTCACCACCATGAGACGTAGTGCCCTGCACATGAACCAAGTCTCTAGGTCAAAGGTGAAGGTCACAGTTAGAGCTCATAGAAAAACGCTTATCTGGAGCAAAACTTCTACATGCATAGAGGGATTTCAATATAATTTGGCACAAATGTTCATCATTGTGAGGCTGAGTGCCGTGCATAAAATTCAGGTCCTTGCGACCAAGGTCAAGGTCACACATCCTGTGCATATCTTCCCTACTGATTTGTTTTAAGGTTCATTTAACAACACAGTGTCAAGAATAAAAACTTGCTTGCTAGATAACACTTATCCATAATGCCCCCATCTCCATCTAAAGCTTTCGTAAACGGGCGTATTTTGTGACTATGGCACCCTTGTTTCAGTTTTGTTAGAGTTATTGCCCTTGACTTACAGAAGTATAAATTTGCAATTTTCAACTTGTTCATGCATAGCCCAAAAAGTATTTCACTTGTAGGCCTGAAAGTTTACAAGAATGTTGGTCAGCATGTGTACTTATGCTCCTTGGGGTTTGCTTGTGGATTTATTCAGTTTTTAGCTCACCTGTCACAAAGTGACAGGGTGAGCTTTTGTGATCGCTTTTCGTCCGGCGTCCGTCGTCCGTCCGTCGTCCGTAAACTTTTGCTTCAAATGACATCTCCTCATAAACCACTAAGCCAATTTCATCCAAACTTCACAGGAATGTTCCTTTGGTGGTCACCTTTAAAAATTGTTCAAAGAATTTAATTCCATGCAGAACTCTGGTTGCCATGGCAACGGAAAGAAAAAACTTTAAATATCTTCTTTTAAAGAACCCAAAGAGCTAGAGCTTAGATATTTGGCATGAAACATCTTCTAATGAGTGTCTACCAAGTTTGTTCAAATAAAAGCCCTGGGGTCAAAATTGGCCCCGCCCCAGGGGGTCATTGATTTTCCCTATATGCATATAGTAAAAACTTAAAAAATCTTCTTTTAAAGAACCCAAAGAGCTAGAGCTTAGATATTTAGCATGAAACATGTTCTATTGAGTGTCTACCAAGTTTGTTCAAATAAAAGCCCTGGGGTCAAAATTGGCCCCGCCCCAGGGGGTCATTGATTTTCCCTATATGCATATAGTAAAAACTTAAAAAATCTTCTTTTAAAGAACTCAAAGAGCTAGAGCTAAGATATTTAGCATCAAACATGTTCTAATAGGTGTCTACCAAGTTTGTTCAAATAAAAGCCCTGGGGTCAAAATTGGTCCCGCCCCGGGGGTCATTGATTTTCCTTATATGTGTATAGCAAAAACTTAAAAAATCTTCTTTGAAAAAACCCAAATAGCTAGAGTTTAGATATTAAGCATGAAACATCTTCTAGTAAGTGTCTACAAAGTTTGTTCAAATAAAAGACCTGGGGTCAAAATTGGCCCCGCCCCGGGGGTCATTGATTTTCCTTATATGTGTATAGCAAAAACTTAAAATCTTCTTTGAAAAAAACCCAAATAGCTAGAGTTTAGATATTAAGCATGAAACATGTTCTAGTAAGTGTCTACAAAGTTTGTTCAAATAAAAGCCCTGGGGTAAAAACTGGCCCCGCCCCAGGGGGTCATTGTTTTTAACTATATGTGTATAGTAAAAACTTTAAAAAATCTTCTTTTAAAAAGCCCAATGAGCTAGAGCTTAGATGTTTAGCATGAAACATCTTCTTATGGGTGTCTACCAAGTTTGTTCAAATAAAAGCCCTGGGGTCAAAATTGGCCCGGTCCCAGGGGGTCATTGATTTTCCCTATATGCATACAGTAAAAACTTAAAAAATCTTCTTTTAAAGAACTCAAAGAGCTAGAGCTAAGATATTTAGCATCAAACATGTTCTAATAGGTGTCTACCAAGTTTGTTCAAATAAAAGCCCTGGGGTCAAAATTTGCCCCGCCCCGGGGGTCATTGATTTTCCTTATATGTGTATAGCAAAAACTTAAAAAATCTTCTTTGAAAAAACCCAAATAGCTAGAGTTTAGATATTAAGCATGAAACATCTTCTAGTGAGTGTCTACAAAGTTTGTTCAATAAAAGCCCTTGGGTCAAAATTGGCCCCGCCCCGGGGGTCATTGATTTTCCTTATATGTGTATAGCAAAAACTTAAAATCTTCTTTGAAAAAACCCAAATAGCTAGAGTTTAGATATTAAGCATGAAACATCTTCTAGTAAGTGTCTACAAAGTTTGTTCAAATAAAAGCCCTGGGGTCAAAACTGGCCCCGCCCCAGGGGTGTCATTGTTTTTAACTATATGTGTATAGTAAAAACTTTAAAAAATCTTCTTTTAAAAAGCCCAATGAGCTAGAGCTTAGATGTTTAGCATGAAACATCTTCTTATGGGAGTGTTGGGGGGGGGAGGCTATATACAGGTGAGCGACCTCAGGGCCATCATGGCCCTCTTGTTGTAAGTTCTTGCCCTTTACTTAGTAAAAGATTTTTAGTTTTCAAACAATATTTGACATAGAGTCATAAGATTGACAGAACAGTGGCACGGTGGGGGCACCCATGTCCTATGGACACATTTCTAGTTTGTCTTTATAATTCAAGGAGGCCCTCAGTGCTGTATTCCTTTTCTTTAATATATTTCTGTAATATTTACACATTGATTTGTTTTTAACAATAGGAATCCATTTTATCATTTAAATTACAGAATGGCGGAAAGAGCTGATAGAACAGTATCACAAAACCCTGCTGCAGGTTCCTACAATACCTTTACAACCAAAAAGTAAAAAATGTAGCTTTAATGAGATTTATATTAGGCCCCAAATTATGAGGGAAATGAAAGAAGAAAAGGGAGAGAAAAAGGAAGTGGAGGTTAAAACAATGTCTGAAATGTTCACATATAATGGAGTTCCCCAAAAATCTGTGTATATTCTAGGAGATGCAGGGTCAGGAAAAACTAGTTTTTGTAAATACCTGGTCAACTGTTGGTGTTTGGCACATAGTGAGCAACAAGAAGCTAACAATGAAAATGAGGACCATGGGGGTGGAAATGAAAAACATGGAGGTGACAATGAAGAACATGAAGGTGATAATGAAGAACATGTAGGTGAAAATGAAGAACATGTTGGTGATAATGAAGAACATGGAGGTGACAATGAAGAACATGAAGGTGATAATGAAGAACATGTTGGTGATAATGAAGAACATGGAGGTGACAATGAAGAACATGTAGGTGATAATGAAGAACATGGAGGTGACAATGAAGAACATGTTGGTGATAATGAAGAACATGAAGGTGATAATGAAGAACATGTTGGTGATAATGAAGAACATGGAGGTGACAATGAAGAACATGTAGGTGATAATGAAGAACATGGAGGTGACAATGAAGAACATGGAGGTGAAAATGAAGAACATGTAGGTGATTATGAAGAACATGGAGGTGACAATGAAGAACATGGAGGTGAAAATGAAGAACACGTAGGTGATAATGAAGAACATGGAGGTGATAATGAAAATGAAGCTGACTATAAAAATGAGAAGCATTGGGGCAGAAATGAAAAACATGGAGGCGACAATGAAGAACATGGAGGTGAAAATGAAGAACATGAAGGTGATATTGAAGAACATGGGGTACATAATGTAAATGAAGGGGGCAATGAAAATGAAGCTGACAATAAAAATGAGCATGAGGGCCGAAATGAAAAACATGGACGTAATAATGAAGAACATGGAGATGATAATAAGAAACATGAAAATGAAAAAGAAAGTGAAGATAGCCGTGGGAAATATAGAAATGACGGTAAAAATGAAGGTGGCAATGACAAGCATGGAGGTGACAATGAAGAACATGAAAAACATGGAGGTGGCAATCAAAATGAAGGTGGTGATGAGAAACATAAAGAACATGGAAGTGACATTGTAAATGAAGAGGTTAACAAGGAACGTGGAGGAGATATTGAAAATGAAAAACACATGGGTGGCATTAAGAAACATGGAAGTGACCGTGATGACATTCAGGGTGAAAGTAATGACGTAGCAAACTCTGAATTATACAGTGATGACTCTGATGGTGACTTGACAGACTCTGAATCCGACAGTGATGACTATGAATATGACAATAAAAGTTATGAACTTAAATTCAATGGTGTAAAAGAGCTGAAAAGATTTGATTTTTTATTTTACATCCCTCTTAGACAGTATCAAAACATTAACACTATTGATGAAATGCTTCAACAACGTTATCAAATGAAAATGTTAAACACACTTCTTGAAGAAGAATCTTCTAGAGTTATCATTTTGCTTGATGGCTTAGATGAATGGTCATCTGAAAATGTCCCAAAACATAGCATCTTTAAGAAGTACACAATAGTAACTACTTCACGGCCATGGAAATTTCATACATTAAGATCAAGTGATGTGGAGATTGAACAGTCACTGAAACTGAATGGGTTTGATTTTAGATGTGAAAGAGAAATGGTATATAGGACAGTCTCACAATTAAATGTTAGAAGTCATGCTAATAAAGAAGCTAGAGATTGTAGGGAAAAGCTCGAAGAAGTGTCTCTGGAAAGTTTTAAACAGGTACCAATTATGCTGCAACAACTGATATGTCTATGGTTTGATGGTAAACTTGATAAAACCTCAAGATGTGCCATCTACACCGGTATGTTAGAATTATTCTTCACCTGGAATGACATGAAAAATACAGGAACAAGTACTCGACTCATGAAGGGTACCAAGAAAGTAATCCTCCCTCAATATTTAGCAGATAAAACCAAATTAAGTTTAAACAGACATTTCATTTATGAAATGTCAGTGTTGGCTTATGAGACACTATTTAATTGTCCTAAGAATAAGTCCTTGTCATTTGACATTTGTATGTTTGACGAACTAGAAATATCAGATGAAGTAAGAGAAAATTGCTTGAAACTTGGATTAATTACAGAAGATGAATGTTCAAGCTTGTCTGTATCAGAACCACCAAGCTCATTGTTCTCCTTTATTCACAAATCAATGCAAGAATTTCTGGCTGCAGTGTATATTGGTATCAATTTCAATACAAAAATTGATTCATCAGGTAGTACAGGAAATGTTGAATTAGCCAAAAAGTTTATTAATGAGGTGTTTCAGAAATCTTCAACAGTAGATGGCATATTAGAGCAGTCGAATGTTGTCATTATGCTATGTGGTCTAGAACCTAAATTAGCAACACATGTTTCTAAATACATATATGAAACTGTGTCAGAAGACTCTCATGTTCAGGAATACAGGAGAACAATAAGAGATAACATTGATAGTTATCATCGTTCTATTACTGATATTCAAAAGCTTTTGTTTGAGGTAATAGCAGAATCAAATGCAGCATGTAGTCAAGGAAGTAATTCTGTGTTTTATATAGGAGATTTGACCATTGATATATTCATTCAGTATTGTGATATGATTTGTTTAAGTATTGATCAGGATCAAATTGTTCCTGACTCTGTTCTGTCTATTAATGTGAATTACTTGAACACAAAAAATGTTAAATTTACAAAATATTTACCAATTTTTTATCATCTGGAAAAAATTGCAATAACATTAGAAAGTTTATCAAGTACACAAAGTGATGGTACACAGAGTAATGAACAGATGATTGATGAGATTAACAATTGTGTTTCTGAGACAATAAAAGTAAATACTTTAACATTAAAATCTCTGTCTCTTGATAATGTCATTGACACTGACATATATTACCCAGTGTGTAAAACAGTTGTTAGCAACCTACCTAGTATGGTCAATCTTGTAGCAATAAGAATGAGTTGTATAACAATGAGTCATGATGATACTACTACATTCTGTAATTTTCTTGAGGGAACCAGTCATCTTGAACAAATACATCTTAGCTATGTTGATTGTGAGTGTCATAACCAGCATGATGTTAATTTATCAAAACATCAACAACTTCATTACCTTGATTTGAATTATACTGTTAGAGTGATAGATGTTGATACTACAAACCTTGAAATATTTAGATTTAGTGAGTTGAAAGATAGTAATTATGAGAAAATATTTGATATTATTAAAAAATCTTACAAATTAAAAGAACTTGTTTTGTATGGAGATATGTTCAGTAAATCTCAATTATTTCATGCCAACATAACAGAGAGACTAGTCAGAGTATTACCATTGTTACACAATCTCAGTAAGCTTGAGTTAGGGTATTGTAGGTTTACTGACAATATAATACAGTTACCTTTAGAGATGAAGAGTTTAAAGGACATTAAGCTTGTTCTGTGTAATAATGAGTTTGACAACATGGCAGAAGTTTGTTGATAGTCTTCCTAGTATTCCCCATACTGTAGATGTGAGTGTAAAGTTCTGTTATATAACAGGAGATGGTGAGGAGTGTAATGATGGTATGTTAACATTGACATCACAAGGACTTAAAGGAGGGAAGGGAAATGATGCTATACAGTATGTAAAAGATCAGAATCAGTTATTTCATGTTAAACGTGATGATGGAATATTCTTTAATTTTTCAACAAGAAGGTGAGATACATGTAATTTACATGTTAAGCATGATGATTACTTTTGGTTTGAATTTTCAACAAAAAAGTGATAAAGTATACATGTAGTTAACTTAGTGTTTAAACTTAATTAGTCCATGCTAAAAGTGATGATAAATGTGGTGGTTTTTTTTTCATTTTCTACAAAAAATGGTTTGAATTTTTAACAGTGATATAGGATACTTGCAGTTAACATAGTGTTTTAACTGAATTATTTTATGTTAAAAGGACATGAATTTGTTTCTTTATTTTCATAAAAAAATGATACTAATGACAAGTTAAATATTTACATATTGTTGTAAAGTTAAAGAATGAATATAATGCATTATGATAGAATATAAATCATGCAAAATATTAAGTTGTTTAATATTGATTTCTGGTCATTTTAACAAAATGCATTTATAATATTGAAATTGAAGAAAATAACATTCAAATTGTGTTTATGAATAAATAAATGAAAAGAAATGCAGTGAAATATTATAGATATATTGATCTTAGTAAGGGTAAAGGTTATTTTTTTTTAAAGATCAGGTATAGTTTGTGAAAAAAAACTGATTTGAAAAAAGTAATGTTCTAATTATAAATACAAAATAGATATGTAAATAAGTGTATAAATAATTAATAAGTAAATTTAATAGAAATATCATAAAACAAATGTTTAATGTACAAGGTCAGAAAAAGAAAAAGATTAATGTAACATGCAAATACAAGTTATATGATATATAAGACAAGGGGATAGTATATATAAATACCAGTTTTGGAATATATAGGACAGGAAAATGGTATAAAAATACAAGTTATATGAAATATAGGAAAAGGGAATGGTATAAAAAAATACCAGTTATTTGATATATTGGACTAGGGATTGGTATATAAATGAATACTGGTTATATGATATAAAGGACAAGAGAATGGTATAATATATAAATACCAATAATATAACAAGGGAGTGGTATATATGAGTATCAGTTATATGATATACAGGACATTTGAATGGTATATATGAATACCAGTTTTATGAAATATAAGATAGGGGAATAGTTTATATAAATTACAGTGATTTTGTGCATACCAGTTAATATATGATATATTTGACAAGGGAATGGTATATGTTAATACCAGGTATATGGATGCAAAAGTGAATGTTCTGTAAAAATACTAGTTATATGAATGTAGAAGTGAATATTTTGTAAAAATACTAGAAATATGAATGTAAAAGTGAATGTTCTGTAAAAATACTAGTTATATGAATGTAGAAGTTAATATTCTGTAAAAATACTAGTTATATGAATGTAAAAGTGAATGTTCTGTAAAAATACCATTTATATGATATATATGACAAGGATATGGTATATATAAATACCAGTGATATGATATACAGGACAGGGGAACAGTATATTTTATTACCATTGATATGATATATACTAATTTTGATTATATGACATATATAATAAGTAAATGGTATATATATTTTTTCAATAAGATGAGAAATGTTTACTTGTTTTATTTTAGTGATTCCTTTATGATTTGTTTTACATTGTAAATATGGAAAAAAATATATTTTCTAATAATAATGCAAAACTATTGATGTGTACAAGTTTATTCAGTTAGTTAGTATAACTCAGATTAGTGAAAGGGACTCCACTGAGATTTTTTTGACAAGATATGATGGGAATTCTATTTTCAAGGTTTCATACTATTTGATAAAAATCTATTTCAATAACTTTTGTGCAAAATTTCAGATCATTTGCTCACATTGCTTATCTAAAATACTAGTAATCATTTAAGCTGGACTACTTAAAGAATAGGGAGAGCTTTAATTTAGTAACACAAGACTTAGTGTATAATTGGCATCACACTGGTTGAATTTCTGCATGCAAGTTAGTATCTAAAATTACTGAAGTGAAGGAAATGGGTTGAGATGCTTGTTTTATTCGGTCATCTAACATGATGAACACAACTCATGTAACTCTGATTTGCCTCATTGCATATTTATGCGCCCTTTTCGACCTTGAAATTCATGGATAAGTTTTTGCGTGTATGCTGGTATCTTCATAACTACAGATTGGAACTTCAGGCACATATTTGAGTGCATAATAGGTCACTGTCCAAGGAACATTTCTAAGACATGGATTTTGACAGAATTATTGCCCTTTATTCTTCATAAGATGATAGATCTTATTTAAAAGAAATGCAGTGCTTAAGAACTAGTACCCTGTTCTTCTTATCTTTTGAGTTATTGCCCTTTGTTAATTCACATATTCACATAGATCATTTCTCCTAAACTATAAAAGCTATTGACTTAAAACTTCATAGGTTTATAGATATCATTGAGAAGAAGTGCATTGCACAAGAACCGGTACTCTGTACTCAAAGGTTTTTGAGTTATTGCCCTTTGTTAATTTTCATACTTAATAGGCTTGTCCAGAGCATAACTTGGTCTTTTTAAGTTTGATTGACACCAAATTTAGTATGTAAGACCTTTTCCACTGACCTGCAGTGCATTGCCTAG